GGGGGGGGGGAATAAAACAGGTGAAGCAAATCAAAAGGTACAAACTTCCGGTTATAGAATAAATTAAGTCCCTGGAACAGAATGCACAACACAGCAACTATAGTAAATAATACTGTTATATATTTAAGAGTTGTAAACAGAGTAAATCTTAAAAGTTCTCATCACAAGAAAATACAATTCTGTAACTATTTATGGTGATAGATGTTAACTAGACTTATTGTGCTAGATCATTTAGCAGTATATGCAAATATCAAATCATTATATTGTGCACCTGAAACTAATATAATGTATGTCAATTATACCTCAATTTGGGGAAAAAAATTTAATCTTTAAAAGCTAAACATACAAGCTAAACATAGTCACTCCTTTTAGGGAAACACTTCTCCAACAAAAGGCCTTTAACTCCAAAGAATTTCATTCAATTTTTCCCCTCCTCATACACTGACATCTCTTCTCTCTCCTAGTTCCATCAATATTCCACCAATTTTCTAGGATCAAAATCCAGTCCCATCGCCTAGTTTCCTAAAGTGCATTATCAATGAAATATGTTAGGTTTGGAGTAAAAAATATAGTACAACCTTGACTCTTATCCTAGTAATCTTTAGCACAGTCACTCAACCTCTCTCTGTCCTTACATTTCTCATCTGTAAATGACAAATTTGTGCTTATGTCCATAGTGAGCTCTAAAATTCTCTATATCAATCTTGCATCTGAACCTTTCTTCCCATTCTATATCCACTGCCGATTCAACTTTTTATTTACAACTAGAGTATTGCTTTTAAGTCTTGCCCTGCTCCAAACCTTCTTAAACCTCCAGTCCATCCAACCCACATCACTATCAAAGATTTTTATGAGTACTTGAATCATGCCATTCCATGTTAGCGATGTCCACTATTCTTAGGATAAAATCCAAATGGCATTCAAAAACAATGTGACCCTACTTACCCTTCTCCAACCTCTTCTTCCACTTTATTCTCACCTGAGGTCCCGCATCCTTGGACTTGAAACATTCTATTTCCTCTTAGAAACGTGTTATCACTGATCCAAACTAAAGTTTCATCTCTTCTCAGGTCTTCTGATCACCTTAGCCCATAGTAATCACTCCATCCTCCAAAATTTCAGCAATTAGTGCCCGTACCATGTATCTAGTACTAAGCATATACTGCTTCCTTTTCTACTTGAATGAGGCAATGTGGTGGGAGAGAGGGATCAGTCACATAAATTATTCCTTGAAGGCAAGAACCAAGCTCTCTCAATTCTTTTTGTTTTCATCATTCTTATTTTATTATCAGAATTGTTCCTTGCCCTTTGGGGCAAGGTTAATCTTGATGGTAGATGATCCTGAAAGGCAGTCTCCAAATAATTGTTACCTTGAAACTTTTTATATTTATTATTCTTTGCTCAGAGAATTCTGGATCTCATTTTCTAGAACTTCCACAGGGATACTTTTGACTACCCTCAATGATGACACATCTTAGTACTCAGATTATCAACTATGGTAACTCCTCTAATCACTGTTGAGGGACTATCTATTAGAGGAATGTAAACTCTTTGTACGCTGGCCTACTGCGAAACACCCAAATTTGTCAGCCAATCTTAATGTCCATGGATAAAATTAAGGAAATTTAATTCATCGAGTAATACTATCACACTGTTTATTTAAAGTAAACCTTGGAAGTGTAAATAATCTAATACTGCTTCGGACATTAATAAAAATAATAACCTCCCAGACCCAATAAAATGTAAAACCAAAACCACATATACACTTGCAAATATCAAAGTCACCTTACAGTCTCAACTCTTGGGTCTGAGACCTACTTATTTACTATCAAGTTATCATTAAGAACAAATCGGGAAGAGAATCACTGCACCAAGCAAACTTCCTGCAAATACAAAATTAGCCTTTCCACTTACTTCTCTGAATGCTTGAATGTATTTGCTTAAGAGATAAATTTCAAATATAGCTGGGTAGAAGCAAAATGAGTCTTAAGCAAGCCTCACTGTTTTCATCTTACTATGCACAGGGTGTGCCCAAAGAATACTTGCTGGAAAAATCTGCTGGGGGAGTGCCAGTTCAAAAAGAAAAACATCTTCACCCAGTTGGAAATGTGGAGAAACAGTGGATGCAGCAACTTATTTGAGAAAACTCTCAAAATCTGAAGAAAATTGTTAAAGGAAAACTCCAGATCTTTTTGTTCTCAGTGTAAAATCCCATTAAAGGTAACTAAATGAGTCAATGGAAGGATTCAACTATGTCAACTTTATATATCTAAAAAGCAATCACTAAAAT